CGACAGTGAAGCTTAGCTCAGCTATGGGGGCCAGCCGCATGGGGACATCGAGATTCTCTCCATTGAGGTAATTTCTGAGGAAGATGTGATTTGGGACTGGGCTGATGCCGCGGAGATATTGTCCCAGGCTGATTGTAAATGACGATTGTTTGCATCAGGAATCTCAGAGAACCTCGACGACCATATATAACCATATATAGGTTTGAGAGGATTCGAAGACCCAGTCCTCCAGACTTGATCGGAAGGGACATCTGGGTGTTTGATCTGGCGTCCAGGCGGAGATTGAGACATGATCGCGCGCATTGTAGTATTGTAGAATCGATGGAGCTGAGTTCACTGGAGTCAACGTAGGCAGGACTGGCTCGGAGGAAGTACCTTATGCGGTTGATGCCAAGGGAGCTCTGTAGAAGGAAAAAAGCAGCCTAAGAAGTCAGGAGGGGCAGCCTACCCTGCATCCTAGTGAGCTTATCCCTGAGGCGGAGCGATAAGTTGGGAACCGCCTGCGGCAGGACTGCAGCACCAAGGAGCTCGAGGTCGGCATCTGAGGTAAACGAGGCATCGGGCAACATCGCAGGAGCATCGTCAAGCTGGGCGGGCAGGAGATCTTCCTTCGTAGAGCAGCGATGCTCCCATTGGCGTCCATGTTCGGCGTCGAAGAATCTTGGGTCCCTATGCAAATCATGGGTCGCGAGATGGCGCGTCATCCTCTTCGGCTCTTCTCCCCCTGAAAATACACCGACGGATAGCTCCACTACTAAACGTCAAGAGTACACACGGGGGAATAGCGTACCTCTCTCAGCTCGAGGTTGATTCTCGCCAAGTCGTTGTTCTCATTCCGGATCTGCTCTTCCATTTCCAGCTTGAGATCCAGGCGGATCTTTTCTTTCCGGAGATCGATCTCCTCTTCGAGTTTTTTCGGGAGCAGCTCAGCGAGTTTGCGTTCGACTTCAGTAGCAATTTCTTTCATCCGGATGAGCTTCCGACGCCGTATTTCGAAGGGGTCCGCTAGAATGAAGCGTGCCAAATTAGCCCAGAATTATCCATGACTGGTCTAAATAGGATTATTCCCGACTAATAACACACTAATTTATAGAATTCATGCGAATTTCATTTTTGGATGGAGGTCGTGAACTCACTTCTGGAGTCTTGTCCCAGCCGTGGCCGCTTTTTCGGAGACTCCTTTCTGATTTCCCGATAGGCACTCGAGCTGCTGCTCGAGCGACTTCTGCCGCCGCGATGAGCTTTAGGAATTTCTTCCCTGCGTCTCCTATGCTTAGAGGATTTGTGGGCTCTTCGTGGGGTTTCTTGTGTCTACTACGGTCTCTCGAGCTGCTTCTCTCGCGTTCCTAATCCTTTTTGCGTTTGTATGAAGCGACCGTCGATCCTTTCGATGGTGACCGGCTCCGGCTCCTACTACGGGACATTTTCAGAGAAAGACTGAGAGTGGAATTTCGCGCATTTAGCATATTTTGCATCTTTCCTCATCCTCTTCACAGAATTTAATTCGAAGCTCCTTATGGGGAGCGATATCGTATATATTCATCGTGATTCCGTGTTTCTCCCCGTTACCCCGGGCGATCTCATCGTTATCCCGTGCGAATTCATCGTGATTCCATGTTTCTCCCCGTTATCGAGGTCGATCTCATCGTCATCCCGTGTTTCTCCTCGTTATCTAGGGCGATCTCATCGTTATACCGTGTGATCTCGGTGTGATACTGCGTAATCCCGTGTGATCCGACATGTCTGAAAATCCGAGCCGAAAAAATGTGGAAGGGACCGCCCGATCACTGTCGAACATTCAGCAAAGATCATTAGTCCCATCGTGTACCCTCCCCCATGGTGAGCTTCCATTTTTGTGGAATTTTACGCCGCGTTTTCCTTGTACGCACCTCGCATAGACTTAACACACGTACAATTGTACGCTATCCTCAGCATACGTACAAGCGTACAAAAGTACGCCGTACAAAGCGTACGGGCGTACAAACCGAAGACGCCATATTGAGGGCGGCCGGCGGTAGTTTGCAACCGAGCAGCGCCATCTTAGTGGCGCCATTCTCTCCCACAAGTTTCTCCCCTGTCGTTTTCTGCTTCACTTGCTTGCGGTTGTGATCTAAGACAGAGGTTCCCAAACGGGGTTCCGTGGCGGATTGCGCGGAACCCTGAAGTCTACCTGCGGAACCCCTGCGGAACCCCTAGGGGTTCCGTGGAAGAAATACCGTGGATGAAATACGGTCAACTTTCGGTGAGCAAATCAAGAAACTTTTCTTTGCGTATGTAGGTCACGATTAGGCATTGCAGCGGTTTCTAACCGCGGTTAAAAGTCGCGATTAACCGCTCGAAATCGCGGTTTTTAATCGTGATCAATCGCATGTATATTTCGATTAATAATCGCAAATCGAGGCCTGCCAATCCAGACGTCAAAAGGCCTGAGGATCAGTCATAGCTCCTTCAAAATGTCTCGAAAATTATTCTCCAGCCTATTACCGAATACGAGAACGAATAAAATATGATTTCCAGAAGAATTTTCCGACAATTGGCTCAGCTCCTAGAATAGCTCGAGGAATATCATCTTCGATCTCGGATCTCGGCGCACGGCACGTAACATTGAGATTTCACGTCCGAAGGCACGTTGGATGTAGACCTGGCAGCGGCGGAGCGTGAATTGGCGTTTTCGTTGCTCAAGCAATCGAAATCAAAACATCAACGATACTTTTTGCTCGTGCTGCAAGAGCCATCAAACGCTCCCGGTTTGATCATTGTCTTAGAGAGTACATCTTCTATGAAATTCGTTGGACTCCATGACTCCTTCCAACTCTTGATTCATTAAACACACAAACGGGAGATTCCATTCTCTGAGTGAGCTCGTCATCTTCCTTTCCCCCCCCCGAAAGCTTCAAATAAGCTTCAAATAAGCTTCAAATAAGCTACAATAGAAATAGATCCATGTTCACATGCTGATTTCGCCTCAGATTACTCGCTGGAGCGATCGCGGTTATTTGCGATTATATTCGCGGTTAGCGGTTTTTCGGCTCCGGTTAATCGAAACCGCGGTTTTTCTGAGTTGCGGTTATTTGCAATGCCTAGTCACGATATCAGCAAACCTTGACTACAATATAATGACATTGGAGCTCCAGGCAAACAGCTGGGAGGATGTCGGAATGTTGGATATCGGAAAATCTTCAGAAATTCTTATGTTGAGATAGTACCTAATTCCTCGTTCTCTTCTTTTCCAGAACAAGCGATAAGTGAAGTGTATGAGGGCAACTTGCCCTCACCGGGGTTCGACTTAAGAGCTGAACTCCGGTACCGTTTGAACGCGGAAGAAATGGACACGCCAAGTCCGTCTTCGAGCGAATAAAAGCTGCATTGAATTGAATCTACGGGTTTTCAATTTGAGGAAAACTTTACACAAAGAAAAGCTCATCAAGACCCCTCTCGCGGGGCAGAGCGTCGAGAAGCAATCTTGCGTTGCCTCGCTGGGTCTCCAGTGCGATTTTCTGTCTGAAGAATGCGTTCGAGCGTGTTTCCCCGGTAGCCTGCTCAAGTCGTCCACCGATCTCCTTGAGAAAGCAGTCGCCTGTTCGCCCCAGACGCCCGAAGTTTCAATAACAAAGGGGAGGAAAATTTATTCCTCTGAGAGTGTTCTGGAATGGATGTTTGTGTCACGTTCACCTCTGGCGGCCACGGCGTCCACACTTCTCGCCAAGCCCATGTAACTCGGGGAAAAGGTGTTACGGATGGAGACGTCCAACACCAGAAGTCTACCAGGAGTCCAAGGAGTCAGAGACATGCCGTCAGGACGGATGCCGCTGTCAGGGCTTAAGAGAGCGGGCTCTGCGCGAACCGGCACATGTAATTGTCTTATGCTCCGGAGCAGGATGTCATTGACGGCGTTGTGCC